AATAAATAAATAAATTATAGTAGTGTTTGGGGGGATTAAGGAGTGTTGTAGAGTGTGATGTAGATATTTAATGTCAGGCATTTGCAAGAACTCTGAACAGAACAAAAATGACAACCTAGGTAATAACTTGCCTTCCCTGACCCCTATTTTGTTTTTCTTTTTCCTTTTTTTTTTTGGCATTAGGGTCTTACTCTCACGCAGGCTCAGTGCAGTGGCATGGTCTCTGCTCACTGCACTCTCCCAAGTAGCTGGGACTATGGCATGAGTCACCACACCTAGTTACTTAAAAAATTTTTTTGTTTGTTTTGAGATGGAGTCTTGCTCTGTTGCCCAGGCTGGTTGGAGTGCAGTGGTACGATCAAGGCTCACTGCAACCTCAGCCTTCCGAGTAGCTGGATTTACAGGTGCCTGCCACCACAACCAGCTAATTTTTTTATTTTTAGGAGAGACGGGATTTCACCATGTTGGCCAAGCTGGTCTCCAACTCCTGACCTTGTGATCTACCCGCTTTGGCCTCTCAAAGTGATGGGATTACAGGCATGAGCCACTGAGCCCGGCTACTTTTAAAATTTTTGGTACAGGTGGGGTCTCACCGTGTTGATGTTAACCAGGTTGGTCTCCAACTCCTGGGTTCAAGTGATCCACCTGCCTTGTCCTCCCAAAGTGCTAGGATTACAGGTGAGACACACCGCGCCTGGCTGGTTTTTCTTAAATGAGCCCCATGTAGTGCTTTATCACTACACCCAAGAAAATATACCACAGTGTTTAGCATATTCTATTCCAACAGCGTTATGCCCCTAATGTTGGCATTAGTGACTGAAGTTTTGGTGCAGCCTGGCCAATTACTCTCAGCCTGGTGGTTGCTGAAAGTATGTTCCCCATAAAACTAGGTAGGTGATTGAACAAGGGTTAGGTGTTTGCTTCCTAATTGTACCGAAACCCGCTGTCTTGGGATTTTACTGGATTGGAGACATCCAGTTAAATACATTGGACATTTTGTATCTGAAACAGGTTGAAGTCAACTGTGTGTCGTTTTTTCTATGTGGTTTTTTCTTTTTTGGCCGATGATTTCATGTATTCCCTTCTCCACCCCACAAACTTCTAGATACATACTTTTTCCACCTCACCCCCCCCGCCCCTTAATTTCTGCGTCGCGGGAGGCAGGAGTTTCCGACAGGGAGGATTGATGTGTGCGATTGATTTAATATGCAATCCTAAATCCGTCCACTGTTACAGTGCAGTGCAGTTGATTAGACTAGAGGCAGAGAGGCTTGGGGAGCATCTTTTTACTGTCGAGTGTCTCCAGGTGGCTATTGCTGTTGAAGTCTGAGGCACTCTGGGAGGTATCGCGTGGGTAGGGGGTCTCCTAGTACCCAGGCAGAGAGTGGGAGGGGGCAGGGGGACAGAGGGAGAAGGGGCGCCAGGCAGCGCGGCTTCACCTGGCCTGGCTACGGGATGCTTGGCTCCTGGCTTTGGGGTGGGGGCCAGGAGAGATGGGGGCAGCGCTAACAAAGAGGAGCCGAGTCGGGCCGGGTCCGCGGGTAGCGGGCCTATCCCGGTGGCTGACCTCCCTGTGGGCCTCTCCAGTTGGCTGCTTGGCGAGTCGCTCTGCTGGCTCCCTGGCTCGCCATTGGCTGTGCAGACAGGAGGGGGGCTCGCGAAGAGCCGGGGCGAGGGGGCGGGGCTGGCTTCCGGCGGCGGAGGGGAGCTAGCGGCAGCCGGCTGGGGGAGGGGGTGTCGGCGCACCACGGAGTGCTGCGCTCCTTGAGCCTGGCACCCGGAGCAGCCGCCTCCCCCTCCCCCTGCCTAGACCGCTGGAAGCCCCTTCTCTTCTGTCCACCCTGGGTGGGGGTGAGCTGGGCTGAGCTGTCCCAGGCTGGCGGGGCGGAGCCAGGAGCCCCACCGTGCGCTGCGGAGCGAACCTCACCTCCTTTCCAGGGTGCAAGGTGTGTGTGTGCTTTTTCTAACGCGACCCCGACTTCAGCCGACTTAACCTTGTAAGAAAAGGGGAAATGGAATGGGAAGTAGTGTCTGTGGATCCCATCAGATTATTTTGGTTTTGTATTTCTACCCTTCATCCGTCTTTTTTCCTTCCCTTCATCTCACCCCTGCAGATGGGTAAGGAGATTCAGGACTCTTATCTCTTTTTACTGATATGTCAATATCGGTCGCGTAGTAAAATGCACGGAGAAGAAAAGCGCTTTTTGTGTGGTATCTGGTGCAGTAAACCGCAATTAAAAAAAAAAAAAAAAAAAA